AAGGACTTAAACAAATCTTTTAAAAATGATTAAAATGTTGATTCTGGAAAGTTACAAACAGATCATGGGTCCAGATTGATTTGAAATAATATTTTGAAGTTAATTATAACAACCCTTCCTATAGGACAGTGGTTCTCAACCTTTTTAATGCCGTGACCCCAACCGGTCGTAAGTCGAGGACTAAACCGGTCGTAAGTCGAGGACTAAACCGGTCGTAAGTCGAGGACTAAACCGGTCGTAAGTTGAGGACTACCCAACCGATCGTAAGTCGAGGACTTTCCCTGCCCAGGAGCGCCACGCATGCGTGGTTCCGCCCCCTGCGCCGGCCAAGGCGTAGCTGGCAAGTGGCAGAGACGGAGCAGGCCGACCACCAGCTGGCCCAGCCCAAGGGAGGTAAGGCACCCGCCGGAAAAGGGGGAAAAAAATGGCAGACAAAAAAAATGGCGGACAAAAAAATGGCGGACAGCCTTGCTTGGCGACCTCCGTGAAATGGTCGATCGACCCCAAATGGGGTCCCGACCCACAGGTTGAGAACCACTGCTATAGGAAAATCTTATTTTGAATTCTTAAAAAGAAATATGATAGGATGGGACTTTGAAGGTTGGACAGTAGAGGGAACCAGAAGGAACTAAAGATTATAATTAAAGGAGAACAATACTTAAATGTGATTTATTAATACAGAATGAGGCAAAATATTTTAACATTGGATGTATTGTGGGATATTTGTGAACAATGGACCCAAAAGTTAAGAGTTAACTTTTGGCTCTTAAATCTGAAAGTGGATTTAAAAACGACAGGCTACAAGAATGATATGGAAAAGCTGCAGGATACACAAATGAAACTGGCTGATGTCTTGAGAATTAAAACGCATATACAAATAAGAAGTCAAAAGAGCAATTTGGGTAATTTCCTATATTGGAAAGAATTTTGTGAGAAGCAACAAAAGAAAATGAGAAGAAATCAAAGTCTTGGACATTATTTGAAGAGCCAAGACTGTTTTAAGTAAAGATCAAGATTGTTTAAAATAAAAGGAAAGAATATCAAAATTGATTTGGTAAAAGTTAAAAGGATATGTCGTTAACTCTGCTAACCTTTAATGGACTTTGCTGACTGGGAACAAACAATGAGGTTTTAAGGATTTGTTTATCAATAAGAGATGGGAGATGGGAAGAAGACATCATTTGTTGTATTTTAAGATAAGATGTTTTACTAAAATTGTTTATACTTGCTATGAAGCCAGGTGGATGAATTCAATTTTATTGGCTAGGAATAAATTGTTGAGAGACTTGAAAGACCAGCCTGGAAAAATCCACTTGTGTGATTGCTAAAGAGTCAACACAAACTTGATGTGACATAATCAATGCTGAGAAGATGCATGAAATATAAGACTTTCTCTAAATTTTTAACCTGCAGTCAAGTGCGAATAAAATGACTGGCACTGCTACCAGGAAACGAGATTTTTTTTTATCTCTTCTACGTCAAGCAATTACCCTCTTTGATTATATTAAAATGTCATATAATGTCCTCTTCTATTCACTGGATTTTTTTTTCTTTTATTTTTTTTCCTCTGGAACTGTGGTTTTCCGGTATTATAAGAATAGCTAGAATATCTGTACTAAATACAAACCACTTCTGCCTAGCATTTTCAGTTCCCCCCCCTTTTTTAAATTTTCATTTGGGTATTCTATGACTCATTGATGAAAAGATTCAGGATAATTTTCAAGTGGAATGAAATAGAATGGAATAACAGAGTTGGAAGGGACCGTGGAGGTCTTCTAGTCCAACTCCCTGCTCAGGCAGGAAACCCTATACCATTTCAGACAAATGGCTGTCCAGTCTCTTCTTAAAAACTTCCAGCGTTTGGAGCATTCACAGCTTCTGGAGGCAGGTTGTTCCACTGATTAAGAGGTATAAATTACACCTTTTGGAAATAATGTTATGATGGAACCAGCCATTTCAGTTTAACGTAATGGAAGTAAAAATATAGCTAGGCCTTTTAAAATATCACATGTTCATTTTTCTTCTCTGTATGTGTGTTCATTCTATGTCTACGAGCAGGCTGATAGTAATAATAATAATACAATGGTCATTGGGGTACCAAAGCCATTTTTAAAAAAAGTATCTGGACTCCTTTTTTTGAGAAGAAGACTTTTTTTCATCTTTATTATATGTATTGATAATGAATATGTGTTTCAGTTCTGTAGATAGATGACCTTATATTTCACCTGATATATCCGTTTTCCTCATACACTTTTATAATACTGTACTTGAATGTCATGAGTTTTGATGTGCTGCCATCTAGTGGTTAGATTTACTGCTTAATTCAAAGTAACAATCAATTGCTACCTTCACAGTTGACCTTGGCTTCCAACAAGATTTTAGCACAGTTTCTTGAAAAGCAGCAGCTACCAAATTCAGACATCTGGTTTTACTAGAGTGTAATATTCATTCTTCCCACTTTTCTATAATATTTATGACCCATTAAGGAGCTTAGTACTGTAACATAAATGGATGTAGACCCTTAAACCCCCTCCTCCCCACTTTGCTCTTTATTTAGGAATCTGTATAACTGTATATACTGGAATGGATCCAGGGACCAGGGAACAGAAGGAAAAGAGTTTCTTTTCCACAAATGCTTATACAAGAATTTGTATAAGAGTTCAGGCAGCATTGTCCTTTGTACTGTATGTTTCATTACGCAGATCACTTTCCCAAACACTTTTGCAAGAACATCTAACATATTTTTCTGACTGAAGATTAAGTGATATCTTGGTGGTCTTGAGCTTGGTTGTTTTCTTGCACATATTTCATTACCCAAACTAGTGCTAGTTTGGGTATCAGTGCTAGTAGGAAGTGGGATCTGCTCTCAATTAATATTCCAGTGGCTTGCCTTGTCAGGTATGGTCTTGTTGTTTTTTGTTTGGTTGGGTTGGGTTGGGTTGCTTACTGTTGGCTTGTTTGGCAATTCTTTGATTGGGGTATTGTTCACTCCTTGATTGTTGATTTGATGTTAAACTTGGCTTTAATCTATGGTCATCTTGGCTTTGATTGCTCAGTTCTTGTAATATATCTGTAAATGTAAAGTCAGCAATTATAGAAACAATGTGATACAGGGGTTAACTGAGAAGCCTCAGACTCCAGTCTACATTTAGCCATAGAAATTCAGTTGACACTGAGTCAGTCTATCTCTCTCACAGACACAGACATTACCCCACAAGATGATTGTTAAGGGGGAAAAAATGGAGGAAGGAGTAGTATGCTTGTTACCTTTAGCTCCTGAAGGAAAGGCAGAATATAAACACATGCATATATAGAATAAAATGTAATTCTCAGATGGCTGAAAATCAAAATTGTCCAGATTGTTGTGTATAAAACATTTAAATTATAGTTACATGACTAGGGAAAGCTACAACCGGTTGTAAAGGTGAACTGGTTGCCAAGTGTCCAAAATGTGGTCAAGTGACCACTGGGGTGTGTACAAACATGGAACTCTGGAACTGGGTTTTGTGGGGGAGGGGTCTGTCATAACTTCGAGAGGCTGTCTGTACTAGCTTCGGTTGGTTCCTGTGTATCCTATTTAGATATCTTACTTAATAAAATCCTTCTATCTATCCTTTTAAGGTCTGCTAAAATGCCCAAACCCTGCAGTATGTAATTAGAAATTACCAGTACACATTGTAAAATACTTTAAAATCTAACCTTTCTTAAAAAGGATGAAAATGTTGTAGATTGCAGGAATTCCAGTTCAGAGTTAAAAATGGTATTTACTTAACTATATATCTTCCAGCATAGCTGAAGGGAGGCAGAATTAGGATATGATGGGCAAAGTGATTGAAGCATCCTACAACCATAACATCTTCTAGCAAATTCGGCATATCTGGGATCAGGACATTTTGCGGTTTGAGAAATAGCATCTGAGCTGCAAAAATTCCCATTTTGTGCAATTAGATTTAAAGTGCTGTTCTACTTGGCCTTTAAATGTTCATCAAAATGAACATTTTGGGCTTATGTATACACGCGTATGCAAAGAACCTTATTTATGGAAATACAGAAATAATATGTATAATCACTTTTTATTTTAATTATATACTTAACCTCTGATAGATTGTTGTAATGGTAATGCCACAATTCAATAAGATCCTTACCTTTTCTCCACCCCTTTCAACTTAGTAGAAATCAGTGTTTTTCTTCTTGGGCAGCTTGCTTGGGACTGATGATTAGAATGGAAAGTTCTAAATTCTTGTCTGATTTCACTTCTGGTCTTATTTATATGACTTCATTTGCTATCAATAGTTGTTTTGGTGGGAAAATACCATTTTTGTTGAAAGAACTATACTTTCAACATGCACGCAGCCTCAGCAGCTGAATTGGTAAGGGGCAGAGGCGTAGCATGGGGGGTGCAGGGGGGGCCGGCCGCACCGGGTGCAACATCTGGGGGGCGCGCTTGCACTTGCAGCTCTCTGCCCCTGCCTGGCTCACTCACTCTCTCTGCAGTGCTGGCTGTGCGAATCCGATCTGAGCCGCCGGGTCGCCGATGCCGCCCACTGTGGAGGGGGGCGCAAATTACTTGCCCCGGGTGCTGACAACCCACGCTACGCCACTGGTAAGGGGAAGTCAACTAACCATGTAGTTATGCAAGCAGCTTCTTGCATAGGTATATCTATACATGAACAATTAGCTCCTTGCAAGCATTATTTATAGCTCTGTTAACTTTGTGTATCGATGGAGAAGCTAAATTGTATTCTCCTGTAAAATCTTATCCAAAGACTATGTTGCCTAATAAAAAAGAGGCTAAAAATTAGGCTAAGTTCCTTCACAGTCCCTTTATCCCACATTCTGTTGAGTGAGATCAACCTTTATTTTTTTCGTTTGCAGCTTATTACACTCTTGAAGGTCAGGGATTTTTATTTATTTTTCATTTATTGTTTCTTTTCTTAAAGATAAACCTTAATTAAATGTTTTAGTGATTTTAATTTTTGTTTTTTTTTCTTCCCCCCCAGTTTCCTCATAGTGCTGATCTGCCTTATATTCAGTGTGCTTTCCACGATTGATCAATATGCAACTCTGGCCACAGGGACATTATTTTGGATGGTATGCCTATGGATATTTGCTTAAGCAACATATAATTTGTATGTATTTTGAGAAGAATTAAAATTGAGATATAGATATGTATTTATATGAATGTACTGTGTATATATTTGGTAATGTTATTTGGATGTATTCTGATTTGCTAAAATGCCCAAGCACTGTAATATGAAGTATAATCAGAAACTTATCAGTGCATATTTTACAATACTTTCATCTTTTTTTCTTACTGATTTGTGTCTGTATGAGAGTAATATGGATAACATGGAAGGAAGAAGTAGGTTTGTGCAAAACCTTTAGGTTCAGGCATGGAATGATCTGTTGAAACACATTATACTGTGGATTGTGTTAATTTGACCATTCCAAGGGTGGTCCAATGGTTTTCATCATCCAAACCATAAGCGTTTTGTGATGTTTTTAACATGGTGTTCCAGGCAAAACAATTCTGTTTTGGTGACCACATCCAGAATACGTCAGCTTTAGTTTGGACTTTGTAGGACTAATTTCCAGAGTATCTTTTGACTATACCGTATTGGTATAGTTCAGAAGAAAAGAATAATGTTGCAGAGAACTTGTTTCTGAATTCTGTTTCAGTAGGTTTTGGACATCCCTACATAGAAGGAAGTATCCTCTAGATCAGGGCTTTTCAATCTTTTCTCCCATTGTACCACTTTTAGGATATGGCAACATCCGAGTACCACCAGTCGCCTAGCAAGGGGTCAAAAACTTGATGACCCAAAAAAAAAAGGAAAAAAGTAATGAAGTACAGATAGTCCTCGACTTATAACAGTTCGCTTAGTGACTGTTCAAAGTTACAATGGCACTGAAAAAAGTGCCCCCCAAGCCAAGCCGAGCAAGACACCTGCCTGCCCACCCAGCGGCGCTCTTACTCCTGTCCGAGGTTTTCATTGTTGTGAGCATTTCTGTTGAGGATTGGCAGCGGGAGTGGGGTGGGGGGTGTTTGGTCTTTATTCCCCCCGTCTGCTGGGTGGTTGCAGCAGGTTTTGGTCACTTCACATGACCCCGGGACACTGTGACCGTCATAAATATGAATCAGTTGCCAAGCATCTGAATGTAAATTACAAGACCCTGGAGATGCTGCAACATTCCAGCTGATCGGCGCTTCTTCTGGGCTCAGCGGAAGCGCCAGGATCAGCGCCGAGCTCCAGCTGGAGCCTGGCGCTGATCCTGGTGCTTCCACTGAGCCCTGACAGCCCCGAAGAAGTGCTGATCCTGATGCTTCCACTGAGCCCTGACAGCCCTGCAACTCCAGCCATCTCTCGCTCAGGCTTGTGCGGTGCTGCCACCGGTTCAACTCATTCCCTTCCTCCCCTACCACTTTTCTAGGATGGTCGCGTACCACCTGCCAGGTGCCAATGTACCACAGGTGGTATCCATACCACTGGTTGAAAAGCCTTGCTCTAGACTGTCCCACAAGGTTTAACCAATTGAGTAGGGTGATTGAACAATAATATGTACGGCAATTCTCAAGGCAAGAAGTAAAAATCAGTCATATACAGATTTTTTTAAAACTCTCTTAATGTTTTTAGTATTTTTGTCCAGGTTAAAAACATATGATGCCTCAGTTGATTTTACATATAGCAAATAGCTGAGAAGCTAAAGTTGATGCATTTGATAATAGCCAATTGTTCTGACTTTGGAATACACAATCAAACGTTTCTTTTCAAGGATTTGTACAGTCTATAGTTTTTGTTGTTGTGCATCAGTGTTACCCCCTGATCCATAAACAATCCAATAATGCTAACAATTACTTGAATGCTCCATGCAAGTTCAAGAGTATTCAGTAAACAAGTCCTCTGAGTTCTCCATTGTCAGGACCTGTGTCGGGTTCATGAAACACATACTGAGAGTAATATAAGCAGCCCTCCCCAGCTATTATGTTCCTTGCTGGTATCTCAGTAGAAGTTGCTGGCATTGCATTACCTGACTTAATTCCTTGGGGCAAGCCAGCATTTATATTTCATTTCACTTTGGGCACTTAATCCTGCAGTTGTTTCTTATGTTGGGATTTCCCCATTATATGTGTTTTAATATTTAATGTAGGCAAAACAGTACCCTCCTTTTTCCAGAGAGTCAACTTTCAGAGTTCAAGTTCGTATGAATAAAAAGCCCAGTTTTTATGTCTTTCATATGCAGCTCAACAGTCCTTCTTAATTTTGTCTTTCATTTATAGAGCTATTTTTACACAGATCTGGTAGTGAATAGTTTTATATAGTGAACGTACAAATACTAATTGGCTTTCATGAATAACAGGCTACTTGGGTTTCAGAGAACAGACTAGCTTTTGTATCCTGGTAATTTCCAGAAACATTGAATTAAAATTTCTGAAGTTAGTGTTTGAGACTTGGAATACCTAAAATTCTAGAATTCCAGCACAAGTTGGCATTATATTTGAGAAAACAGTATTTGAACATTGAGGCTAGTGGAACAATGATTAAGTAGGTTTTGGGGAAGGATTTATTGGGATGTCTATGGAGATTCTCAGTCATCCAGGTCATGGTTGTCCCAAAGGTGCTTTTTTTTTGAGAGGCAGACAACAGAGACTCATCCCAACAGCCTGCACCTGTCTTCAACAGTGAAGGGACATAGGGCAGAAAAGATCCTGCAACCAAGAAGGCTCCACACCCATTTGCAGTACTCAGGTGACCCTGAGGACACAGATAAACCTCCAAGTGGCCTCAATGACTCTCTAAAAGAATGCAAATGACCAGCTGTCTGCAAGTAATATATATCCTTCTACTCCCCACCATCCAGTCAGAGCTGAAGAAGCTTCTTGGATGAAAAGCAAAGTCTTCAAAGAAAAACAAGAATGTCCAGGTGCTTCCTGAAAAAGCACCATTGGGACGATTTATTGGGATATAAGAATAAAAAGATAAGGAAGACAAGGCCATGGAGAGCATCAAAGATAAGGATAGATTATGATGGTCCTCGAAATGTAACGTTAGTGCCATTAAGTTAGCAAAGAAAAGCTCAGGTACTGGCGATTATATGGAAATGTTTCTTCTTCTTGTGCCATATCCGTTATCGGACGTTGGCGATCATGTTGGCGATCCTGTTTTTATCAGCAGCCGCACGAAAAAGCGCTGCTGAGTTTTGTCCGAACCAATCCCTTAGATTTTGAAGCCACGATGTTCTTCTTCTGCCTGGACCTCGTTTGCCTTCAATCTTTCCCTGGAAGATTAAATGGAGTATGCCGTATTTTTCTGGGTGTCACATCACATGTCTGAAATATTCTAATTTTAGTTTTTTAATTGTTTTGATGATTTCCCTTGGCTTTCCCAGGCGGCTTATCACCTCCTCATTTCTGATTTTGTCAACCTAGCTTATACATAACAGCCACCTGTAAATCCACATTTCAAATGCTTCAGGTGGCCTTCTGTCAGAGACCAACTCTCTACTCCATGGAAATGTTTACGAATTAGTTTTCGTGGCACAGTATGAAAATGATTTTCCATTGCTTTGTGGAATTTGCTCATCCCAAATTTAACAATGAGCCTAGATTGCTTTGGGGCCTCCAAGTACTAATCAAATCTGGTCTTGCTTAGCTTCTTAAGATTAGTCAACGTGATATAGTTTAAATTAATTTAAGTTTTATGATAAATCTAATGTCATATGAATGGATTTCTGCCCATATGACAGGACTTTATCATTTTCTTCTCCCCTGAATAGTTCTCTTCCTACATAAGACTTTTGTTGTCCTTCACTGATAGACAGGCTTGTAGACCAGAGAACAAGTGTGGAACTTGTTTCACAGAGCAGTTTTTGTGGGAGGAGCTTTACCATTCACAAAATGGCTGCCTATTACATTCATTACTCAAAAGACAAACTGATGGCATACTTTGCCATCCCTGCATACTATCATCTATTTGGGGGCATATTTCCAAACAAAGTACTAGTTTGAAATCTAAGACCATAAGAAGAACACCTACAAGGCCTATTAGAACCTATTCAGAGGTATCCTTGGAAGGTGGTGCTAGAAATTGAAGCTTTGCTTGGCAGCCTGTTATTTTTCCTGTTAATTAATTAGCAACACAATTACACACACATAGGAAGCCTAGTAGTCTCAGAGATTAGAACTACCAAATTCGAGTAACCAAATTTCAGATGACCTTTAGATGATATCAAAGAAATATAGACAGTTTGAAATTTTTGCTACCCTTTAATGGCCACTTGAAATTTGATAGCTGAGAAATGGTTGCCCTATTAGAGGCAGTAATACAAAGGCATAGGAGTCATTTTACGTACACCTGGGAAGCCTGTGGTTCAGATTTTGAGAGAGTGTAAGGATTGAGGGGAATTGTCCTTTTTTACACAATATAGTAAAATGTTTCTCTTTATGTTAATTTGCTTTTGTCAATAAATATACGTGATCTTTTGTATTATTACTTTCTTAAATAATATATCTGTGTTTCTTCTGGGTTCTTTAGTAGCTTTTCTTGAGTAAAATATTTTCCCCTGTGAATTAGAAATATATTTTTGAAAACTTTGTTTTGCATGTTTTATTTTGTTAGACCTATATAATTGTCCTCTTGCTGGATGACTTTAATATTTATTCAATAAATTGAGGAAAATAACTGTTAACAATTACTGAGGATTTTCTGAGTTTAAGAAGCTTTGAATGAAAATTTCATTCTCTTTGAAAAACAGCTGTTTAAATTCAGTAGAAAGTGTAATGTAAAGAAAATGAATTATTTTTTTCAATTTGTACAAGATGGAAACCAGTTGAATAAATTGTCTACCTTTTGTGCCGAATACAATCCTGCAGAGACTGTTGAAGAGAATAGATAAATGCAAAGAGACTATAGTTATTGCTATAGGGCTTGTGAAATGAGAAATATTCAAGAGTTAGTGTGAATATTTTTTTAAAAAAGCCTACGCACTTCAGCATTAGAAAGGGAGCCTAATGACATAATTTTGCTGAAGATCTGGATGGAATTAAGAGGAAGAGTTGAAGTAAGATTTGAAAGTATGAAAAGGGCTGTTTA